GTATTAGAGTGATTCGTCAAGCATGGCAAGTCAAGCATGCTCAGTAGCATAGAGTATCAAAAATACTATGTATATTTATTTATTTATTAATAATTAATGGGCGTGCTCTTTAAATACRTACAAATAGGAAATACACAAAGTAATTCAAATAATAATAATGCTAAAAATAAGATAGAAGATTTGTATAAATTGTTTACTCTAAATTGTATAAAATGTTATATAACTGCCTATTTTATTTTCTTACAACTCACAACTAAAAATTAAAATACTGTAAATACCAACGTACAAACACAGATAATGTTCTATCCTTTAATAGTTATTTAATTCACCTTAATATTGAAGATAACAATTAATACAAACATATTTTATTCGCCTAAACTCAAATGCATACCATGTTGTATATATGTATAAAACAAATGCGGATAAGACGTCGACTTCTATTTATATTCATATAAACATCCAATATATTGTCATTTATCAATAATATTTATGATACTAAACTCTATTAGTATATTATTGGCTATTTAAATAATATATTTTAAAAAGAAATAATAACTTATGTTAATAAGTTGTAAGCTGTCATAAAACTTTTGATTTAACTGAGCTAAAWATAAGCCAGGACAACTTTACTATAAACTTTAACTTTTAAAATGTTTTTATCAACTTAACTTATCTCAATTGAAAACTATCATTAACTTGCTCAGGCTTGATTAAAATTCATAATTAATGTGTGAACACTGAACACACAGACAATAATTGTAACTAAAAATTTGTTCTTGATGGTTATATACAATTGAGACGCCTCCTCGGTGCTCCATAGTCCACAGATAAGTTAATTAAATTGCGAGGGTACGTGGTTGAGGGATTGTACTAATTCTTTCATACAAACAAATTAATATTTTCTAAAAAAATTTAATTGTACTAATTCTTTTGTACAATCAAATTAATATTTTCTAAAAAAATTTAAAATAGATTCATTCATATGAGATTGAAAATAAAACGTTTCGCCAAAATTTAAAAGTAATAGGTAAAGTATCGAAATGTTGAAATTAAGCACAAACCAACATATTATATACTTTCTGAATTTACATTTTATTCATCTTATAATATTAAATTATTGTTTGTAATCAGTCAATCAGTGACTTACTTACAAAATATACTATATACATTAAAAACATATAAAAATAAACTGTTTTAAATGAGGTAGATAACATTGGCGTCGAACTATAATTTTTTAAATTTTAAATTATTAATACTAAAAATTATCTAAGTACTACCTTGTGTACAACATTCCTGGTTATAAYCTGTCTTTCGCTAATACGAAGAGATTTGATGGTTTTCTTACACGTAGCATAGGCATTACACAGGCAACATAATATAGCTGTCCATGTGAGAAACATGTGTTTTCCAAATCCAAACTGCAAATAGACATTGTTTGGCCTATATCGAGATTTATTTATGGYCATCTCAAAAGCTAAACAAATCGGAAATTGGAGCCTTTTAAACGGTATTGGATATTCTGACACTATCAGTGGAATATGTGGCAACAGGACGATATCTCCTTTAAATTTTCCCGTCAAAATTGTTGCTTCGAGAATATTTTCGGTCATTTTTTTATGATTAAACGTGTACCGTTACATAATTGAGGTGGGTTTAAATTACGTAGAAGAATAATTGGTGAACTAATTTTCAATTGAAGATGATTGTGTGGTGGTATTCCTGGCAAATCCAGAGAATTCAAAAATTCAGTTGGAAAGTTTACGGCTTCGTTTTCATCAATATAACTGTGTCGATTGTTTAAAAGACATCAAATAACCGGGCAAAATCTGTTGTATATGGAAGTTAATTTCGTTTACATCAACGTTTTTTTGTTGCCAAAATAGCACGATTACAGAGTCAATTGTGATCTAAATAATAATTCAATATATCCGGAAGGCGGAAAGACACTCTCAATTAGTTCATTTCTCGTTTCAACAATAGTGCAAAAAATATCTGGTAATTTTATGTATTGTGTATTTTGATGCAACTCAATTTCACCATTTCCAATATTCAGCAATTGTTTAGAAAATACTTGTGC